TTTCTGACCCACCCAACTGGGACTGTATTGCAGATTACATTGCTACCAAGCTGCCATGTGGAGTATCCTACTGTATACCCCCTATCTCTGAACATTTTGTCAGAACTAGCATTCAGCAGCTATCTACTGGCAAGGCTTCTAGGCTGGATGAACTTTGTACCTATTTTCTGAAAGTAGCAGCCTTGTACATCTCTCTATCTTCCACTGCAATTTTAAATCTCAGCATTTCTTCTGGTCTTTTTCCCGACATTAGGGAAAATTCCAAAGTCTCACCACTGCATAAAGCTGGTTCATTGTTTGACAGATCTAATTATTGCCCCATATCAGTTCAGGCTATTGCACCAAACATTTTTGAGTGTCACATACACCGAACCTTTTATTATTGTCTTTGCCAACATGAGCTGCTTCTGCAACTTGGTTTCCATAGTTATCACTTGTGTTAGCTGTCTATGGCTTACCTTTCTGATAACATTTTAACAAACATAGATAATAAACTCCTTAGTGGACTTTTACTAGTTGACTTTAAGAAAGTGTTTGACCTTGTGGATCATGATACATTACTTGATAAATTTTGTATCAATGGCTGTTTCCGTTTTTCCATGGCTTAGTTTGACTCTTACCTATCCAGGCACTCTCAGCTCAGCACACAATGTCCAGATAGGTGGTAGATATATTAAGCAAGTGGACCATGCCAAGTTGCTTGGTGTTATGATAGACAATACCATGTGTTGGGAGCACCATATCAGTACAATATGCTACATTGTTAGTTGTGGGCTTTCTCTTCTCTGTTGTATCAAACCTTATCTCAACTTTGATTCTGCGAACAGAGAGAGAGATTTGAGAGGAAGCTTAGTGCTATAAAAATAAGAAGTCAACTATGCAGAAATAAAACAGTTTGTTGTTGTTACCGACGATCCTGAGTTTTGTCTAGGAACAACCCTGCTCTGCATCGACACTTGTAACAAATATCCACATGGTAACTCTGGGAAATGCACACTTGCCTACAGTGCTACGAAACTCCTCAATGGACTTAGTTCTGACCTAAAAGAGTTCTCTACTTCTTCTTCTCCACCAACATTCAAATTTCTCCCTCCTCTCTTAAATCTAAATTACAAAATCTATTTCTCTCACCCCTATCCTCTGCCATGCACTTGGAGGATCTACTGTGCTTGATTTGCCGCTATTATATTTCTTGTAATTTTTTAAAGTTTTTAGGCAATTAAGATATTTACCATTTTTTTGTGTTCATAGTTTATTCCACTTTAAATATGATTTCTCTTGGACATAAATCATACATCTTTTAATCATTCTTATAATTAGTTCAGCAGGCAACATGTTTTTTAAAATTAAATTCTCATACTGCTACTGTAATGAGATGCATTTATGCAAATGAGTGAGCATGCGCGTCGAGAGTGTGTTAGAGAGTGTGTTAGAGTGTGTTCCATGGGTGTCAGGTTGTGTCGCCCCATTGCCTTGTTGCCCCAGGTTACGTCACCCCAACCGAAGTTACGTCGCCCTAACATCGTAGTTGTGTCGCTCCAACATCAAAGTTGTGACGCCCAAACGCGTAACTTCGCTTATCAAGTAAAAGTTTGCAAGATTCTCCGATCGGTTTACGCGAATGATCTACTTATAACATAAACATTACACTGCTGTAAGATTTATCGATTGATCGAAGGAAAAGTTTGTAAGATTATTACGATGTAACTCGATGTAACTTGAGCGAGTGGCTTGTAAAAAGTAACTTCGCTTATGAAGTAAGTTTGAAATCTATTCATCGATTGATTAACTCAAACGACTTATGGAATACAATGAGCAGGGAACACAAATGTGTTAAAATTTTGCAATAAAATAGTACCCAAGCATCTGCCATAGTAAACCAGGTCCTACTGGAAGAGCTTCCCGATGTTCCATGTCTGGGTCTACCGAAACCAGCGCATCTGGCCAGAAACGCGAACAGCCTTCGTCAGAAACTCCGGCTCACAGAACCGCGTGACCTTAAGTTCGAGTTGGAACTGGAGCACGTCCCCGACAACTTCTTCAGGAATGATGTTAGAGTAAGTAAAATGAATGTTAATACTATATATTAGCACATACAAAACTAAATAAGTTATTCAACAAACTAAAAGGTTATTCGAGAAACAGTTAGTAATTGATTTTATAACTTAACATCACCACACCAAATCTTTCAAATGGACTGGAACAGTATTGTGATCATTATACAGCAGCTTACAGTAATTTAATTATGGCATGCATTTGCTGAATAGATTAACCTAGTTATTATTTCGAAAACCACCCGATTCTCCGATCGATTTACGCGAACGATCGACTTATAACATAAACATAACACTGCTGTAAGATTTATCGATCGATCAGAGGAAAAGTTTGTAAGATTATTAAAATGTAACGTAACGTAACTTGAGCTAGCGGCTTGTAAAAAGTAACTTTTTTTTCAAAATCAATGAACGGCAACGTAGCTCCTTTAAAACAAGTCCTCTTCCTTTAATTTTTCTAGGTGCAAGAGCTTGGCCTCCAGGTTTCGTACAGGGAGGATCGGGGCACCCGTGCTTTCATACGAAAGGTCATGGCTCTACCCTTCCTCGAAGAAGAAGACATCAGGCTGCAGTTCCAGAGCCTCCAGCAAACAGCAAACACAGCACCTCTTCACCAGTTCACCGACTATGTATCAAGCACCTGGATCGAAAGCAACACCTGGCCACCATCCTCTTGGTCAGTGTTTATGCAGTCGGTCAGGACCAACAATGATGTGGAAGGTTGGCATCATGGTCTGCACACCAGAGCCCAGGACAAGAGCCAGCTACCCATGTACTTACTTATCGACCTGCTCTACAAAGAAGCCAAACTAACTTCTCTGAACGTTTGTATGGTCTCAAAAAAAGAAACATTTTTTTCGACGAGTTTGAAAGTACTCCTTGGCAGACATCACCCAACCTTGATAAGAAAGGAAATCGTCAAATCCAGGCTAAGGTATTTTCACTGTGGGGACAATTCACATCACTAACAGGTGTTGTTTTCGTCATCTCAATTGACACAGGAGAAGTTTTAGACTATCACGTGATGTCTAAATCTTGCCGTAAGTGCTCCCTAAAGAACTCACAATGTGAAGGGAATGTGGAAGAGTTTGAAGAATGGAGGAGGGAGCATGTTGCATCTGGAGATTGTGACATCAACTTCGAAGGAAGTTCACCTGCTATGGAAGCAGAAGGAGCTTCTGTTCTTTGGAATAGATCCATCGAACTTCATAACATGAGGTACAAATGGATGGTGTCAGACGGGGACAGTAAGGCCTTTAACACTGTTCAACATGCCTATGATGACTGTGAAGTTATTAAACTGGATTGTGTAGGCCATGTGCAGAAAAGGATGGGCAAACATTTAATGAATTTGAAGGCATGCAGTAAGGTAAACTTGCTGATGGAAAACCTATAGGAGGGCGTGGCCGGCTTACAGAAGGAAAGATCAAGCAGCTTCAAAGGTACTATGGCCTAGCAATCCGCAAAACACCTTGACCAAGGCAAATCCTCTGAACGGGAGGTTGACATTGCAGTTTTTATGAAAAAAAATATTATTGCCATTCTCCATCACTGTGTAAATTCAACTGACAATGCTAAACAACACCGCTTCTGTCCACCAGGTGATTCATCATGGTGCAAATGGCAACAGGACCAGGCAACAGGAACCAGATACTCAAAAGAAGGGCGTGAAAAAAGAAGACAATGAAGCTGGGGCATTCTAACTCTTGCTCTTGCCTATCCTAATTATATTTGAACAACTTCATTGACTTCATAATTTGAATACAGGAGGTGTTTAATTTTAAAATCTTGTAACAAGGCTTGTTCATTATGAGACTATGGACCTGAAATTTTTAGGGATTGCTGATCTAATTGAGTTATTTGGGATGAGTGAAGGAAAATGCCATAGAGGTCTTTCTAAAGAAATGATTAAACAAATAGTGATCATGTGTTAGATGTGTAACTTGACACCAGTGCTGTGATGTCAAATTTAAAAATTCTTGAAATCCTTCACTCATCCCAACAAGTATTCAATATTCTTTAGAATAACAGCAAAATATTGGTATTTCATTGAAACAAATTCCTACAATTATTTGAAAAAATGCACTTTTTTTAGGTAGAATCCCCCCTTAAAACAATTTGTTAAGTTAGTTATAGAAAGTTAGTCGAGACACTCCAACTTTACGCTTGTTTTGTGAAGTTTTTTGATTGCCCTTTCCTCTACTAAAGCACCTTTTGATATAAAAACACGAATGAAAGGGTAGTTAATGTTACATGACGCAGTACACAGGTGCATTTTGAAAGAACAGCAAGCGAGTCAGCTAAAGTTAATACTTTACTTTGATGGGGCAACATAATTTTGATGATGGGGCAACACAACTCCGATGTTGGGGCAACGTAACTTCAGTTGGGGCGACATAACCTGGGGCAACAAGGCGATGGGGCGACACAACCTACATTTGTTCCATGTGCTCAAGTCAGTAACCAAATTATCGTGTACACAAGTCCTAATTATCGGAATAAAACCAATTCAGCAACCCACTCAGAGTCATTACATGGTACCAGGAGTGGAAATATGGCACTCAGTGGCGTTGACATACCGAAAATGCAATGGATTGGCGACAATCTTCGAGAAAATTGAGGCGTTTCAAACAACACGCTGAATTAATGTTTTCGGATCCTCTAAAATCCCACTCAGAAGCAGAGAAATGTAATTATCTTTTAATCTGGAGTGGTCAGAAAGGAAGAGATATCTTCAACACATGGCAAAACCTCACACAAGATGACAAAAAGAAGTTGCAAACCTACCACGATCGATTTGAGCAACACATGAGTCCAAAGTCTAATCCTGTCTTCGCATGATACAAATTTCATCAGAAGATCCAATCGCCTGATGAATCCGTAGAGCAATTCACTACTGAGCTTCAAATCCTCACACAAGACTGCGAATTCACCAACACAGATGAGATGATTCGCGACAGAATTGTCTTCAGCACCAAATCAATGAAAAATAGAGAAAAGCTGTTCGACGAAGGAGCAGGTCTTACTCTCGAAAGGGCTATCAACATCGCACGATCCTATGAAGGATCACAAGCTCAGCTAAAAGCTATGAATCCCGCTGGAAACAAGGGAAAAATCGATGTTATTTCGCGTCCTAAGAGCCGAAATATACAACCAAAACATGGCACTTCTGCACAGGCAGCCCAGCAATGCAACCTGAAATCTACACAGGTAGCCCACCGGCACCGTGATGAAAATCCAGCTAATAATTGTGAAAATTGCGGCCGCTCTCACAGCAAATCCGAAGCCAGTCCAGCCAGAGGTCAAACCTGCAATTATTACAAAAAGAAAGGCCATTTTATTCAAGTCTGCAGGAAAAGAATGCGATCAAAACAAAGAATTCACGAAATTCAAGACACTGCTACATCATTTGAAGAAAATTTCGAGACCTTAGCATTTGAGCCTATCTGCGTTGGAAACATAAATCAAGAAATCAAAGCACATAAAGATGAAGTATTTCCTACTGTCAACGTCAACATTGCCGGAAGAGGAAAACGGGAGCCCAAGGAAACGTGCTACCCCTCCGCATCTATTGCAACATGTACCCCCAAAATATCAATGCCAACGGCAAACCAAGGCCAAGAACACTGAACCAATCAAAAGTCATTCAAGTAGCATATGATGGCTCAGAAATCAAGCACTTCGGTACAGCCAAAATCCCATGTGAGTTCAAAGGCATCAAGATAACAGCAACCTTCTATGTCACAGACACCAGCGGTCCCGCAATCATCGGTCTTCGCACCGCAACTCAACTCAAACTTGTGAAATTCAATCTCGAAGTAAAAAAAATCTCCACAACCTGAACCTTGTACTCAATCAGTCAAATCGGCACCAATCAGAAGCAAACAAGATCTCATTGCATGGTACCCAGAATGCTTTGATGGAATAGAAAAGCTCAAGGGTGAGTACCATATCACCTTGGATCCTGCTTGGATCCTGCTTGAGAGCATACACCTGAAGCACCTGACAGCAGCTCCACCCCAACTTCAACGGATGCTACTCTGGCTCCAACCATACGACCTTGTGATAAAGTATCAGCCAGGAAAAACTATGGAAATTGCAGATGCTCTTTCCAGACTTTCACCAGAGAAAACCGGCGAAGTCAAAGACATGGACGTCCAGATACATGAAATATGCCCTCAATTCAGCAACGACATGATCAAGAGAATCAAGGAGGCTACAGTGGCCGATCCAGAATTAAGTGCATTAAAAGAAAAAACATACATCGGTTGGCCTTCAGACATCAAAGGAGTACCAGCTCTCATTACGCCATACTAGGCATTCAGAGATGAAATATCCATAGACAACAGATTGATAATGAAACGACACAGGATTATCATACCTAAAGCACTGCAGAATGAAATCTTCCTGAAACTCCATGCTTCACACCAAGGCACAGAGAAAACAAAATTACGTGCAAGATCTGCTGTTTATTGGAGAGACTTAAACAGAGACATTGACAACGTCACGAAATCATGCAGTATCTGTCAAGAGCTGCAGAGCAAACAAGCCAAAGAACCATTGACGCCAACAGAAATTCCTCCATGTCCTTGGTATACAGTCAGTTCTGACCTGTTCTACCTTGACTGGTCCGAATATTTGCTTGTTGCAGATTACTATTCTAAGTTTACATTTGCCGGGAAAATTCTGCCAGGGAAAAGCACCAGCAAGACTGTTATTGAGCTGATGAAGCAGATATTCAGTGAACCTGGAATTCCACACGTGATAAGGTCTGACAACGGTCCTCACTATAATTGTTACAGTTTTACTAAATTTGCTCAACAATATGGTTTCAAGCATGTGACGAGTTACCCCCACTTTCCATCCAGCAATGGATTTATTGAGTCGCAAGTCAAGACAACAAAGAAAACCCTGAAGAAAGCCAAAGCAACCAACAGCAATCCCTATCTCACGTTGATGTGTTTAAGAAGTACCCCCATCGATGGAAAATTACTTTCACCAGCTGAACTGCTTCTCGGAAGACCAATACAAGATAATCTCTAGGCTTTTACACAAGTTGCTCAGCAACTTTTTGGCAACTTTTGGCCTTTCCAGCAACTTTTGAGCAACTTATGGTTTAGAGCATTTTTTCGGCAACTTTTTTCAATCCGAGAAAATATATCCTTTCTTAGTGACAGCAAAATAGCAAAAGGACGTGGAGCAGATTTGAAAGAGCCCGAGAAGGCTGAGATTGCAAGAATGAGAAAAGTCCAAAGAAATCAGGCAGGTGGAAAGAAAACTGTTTGCGGACAAAAGGATCCTAAAGTGAGTGCTTATCAACAAGTGAGGGAGAATCGGAATGAGTTCCTTAGCGTTACAAGTAAAAACATGTTGAGATGTGACGCATGCAAAGAAACTATAAGTAAAAAGAAAAGTACTGTTCACAGAGTATCCACTAGTACCCCAAGCAGGAAAATAGTCATTAAAAGAGACATCCGCCCATCACATAAAATGAAACTTGGTCAGTACCTATCTGAAATCGATTGGCACCTGATTAAATTGGAATTGTTGTGCGATCAGAAATGCAAGTTTCTGTGTTCTGCAATTATGACTGGCTACAACATTCTCATGCCAGAGAAACAAGTGAAGATTCACCAGAATGACCCTCCGTGGATATCAGAAGAACTGAAGCACTTAATAACCTTGTGTCAAGTGCTTTCTCCTCTGGGAACAATGTTATGTTCATATTCTATCAGAACAAGGTCAACAGCATGAGGAAATCCTGTCAAGGGAAGTATTTTGCCTTTAAAGCTATCAAGCTTAAACAGACGAACCCAAAGACCTGGTGGTCTAAGGAAAAACGTTTAAATGATACGACATCTGCTCCTAATGAAATCCTTAATCAACTTCATATTCACAACACCCAAGATCTGTCAGCTAAAGACTTTGCAGATTTAATTAACAACAGTCTGATGGAAACAAAGAGAACCTACAATCCACTGGATACATCAAACGTTTCTACCCTTCTTGATGAAATCCATGAGTACCCAAATCTTACCAGGCTAACACTGACTCTGTGTTAAAGAAGTCAAAGAACCTCAACACATCTAAAGCACCAGGCCCTGATGACATTGGCAATTGGATCCTAAGAAAATACACCAAAGTTCTCACACTTTCTATCATGCACCTACTCAATGCCTCGTATAAAGAAGAGAAGCTACCCCAAGCATGGAAATAAGCTGACATAACACCAATTCCCAAGGAGAAACCAGTTTCCAACATCAGGAAGCATTTAAGACCAATTTCACTTTTCCCACTTTATCTAAACTGGCTGAAGACTTCAAAGATGAAAAGCACATTTCCCCTGCTGTTTTGAAGATAATCGATCCATCTCAGTTTGGCAGTATCCCTTGTTCATCCACAACCCATGTGCTCATCTCAATGGTGCATTCTTGGGCCAAGGCAACCAACTGAACAGGAAGTGCAGTCAGAGTTGCTCTACTTGGTTACCGCAAGGCTTTCGACCTCATAGACCATAATATCTCTCTTTGTCAAGCACTGGGTGATCAACTTTCTCATTAACAGACAGCAATTAAAGCTTGCTGATATCCTGTCTGGTGTGCCTCAGGGGACAAGTGGCTTTTCCTACTCATGATAAATGATCTTTGGTCACCTCAAGTAACAAACCTGGAAATACATCAATGACAACAATGTGAAGAATGACATCTTCAAGCCTGCCAATTTTAGAACTTCCAAAGACAAACTTACGAGAGAAGAAAGGTTAGCTTTAAGGTCTCTTAAATCTAGTAAAATATTATTAGAATTCAACATAAAGGTTCTAGGTGCATTGTCCTCAGTCAACAAGAGTATCAAAATAAGAATACTAAGGCAGCTTAATAATGATTTGCATTATGATAGCTTAGACTCTGCCCCAACACTTGACCATTTTGAAGTGGTCAAGGAATGGAGTTGTAAGTGGTTCTCTGAGGGGCAGATTAGCCAGGAGATTGCGACGTGGGTTGTAAATCTAAACCGAGAGTCGCTTTTGGGAATGTCAAAACACACAAACGAAATAACCCACTTTGACTTATTACATCCTGTTGTGGTACAGCAATCGAACAGCTTTCTGCTTTTACAGAATTCTATCTCAAACCTCTTTCACAGTCTCCCATCTTTCGTTAAGGATTCTACCGATTTTATTAACAAATTAGAAGATTTGAATGCAAAAGGCCCATTCCATGAGGGGTCTCTACTTGTGTCTTGGGGTGCAGTCTCAATGTTTCCGAACATTGACAACAATCTAGGTATTTCAGCAGTTAGAAGGGCATTTAATTCCAGATCTGTTAACATTCCTTCCACTGATTGCTTAGTTGAAGCTGTTGAAATTTGCCTCAGGGTAAATAATTGCCAGTTTTCTGGTCAGAATTTTGTTCAGAAACATGGCACACCCATGGGAATGTAAAACGCCTGCAGTTATGCAGATTCGGCAATGGGTGTCATTGATGAAAAAGCCAAATTTGGAGGTAGCCTGAACCTGTAATGAGATTCCCCTAACACATGATCTTGTATGATTCCCACAACACGTGATCGGGTATGATTGTCACACGAGGCATGGGCAGTTCAACACCAGAGACCTTGGTAAGCATCTAATAAAACTCATGAACTAAATCAACAGGGATTGTCTGTCTATGACCACATTACAGAAACCTATGCGTTGGTGGAGATACAGGGAGGATATTTTTGACATTTGGACTCAAGGTTTACCTGAATTATTGGAATTTACGGTTTGTATCCTACTACCAAATTTGAATTGGTTTACTCTGACAGTCATTTGAATGTCCTTGATATCATGTTGCATTTTAACATGTCACCTATAGTTCTTTATTTGCCTTTCATTGTTTAACCCTTCTCAGTTTGTAATTTAGACCTTTGTTGTATTATGTAACTTAAATCTTAAAATTTCTGTTTTGTATATAAGTTGCAATCATTGTAAATAACTTTTTTTTTTAATTTTTAACCTGAAGAAGGCCAAATGGCTGAAATGTCGTGCATTAAACTCGTCCAGAACAGTCAAGAGTTGGTCTCTTCATTGCATCCTTATAATACACTTAACTACAAATTCACGTCGAGACATTGCATCCTGTGGATCCTCTTACTGGGAGTTCATTGTTAGGTATACAAAATTTTATGCTGTTTATATGTACAGTAGAACCACGGTAACTCGAACCCCTATAACTCGAACAACCCCGCTAACTCGAACAGTCTCAATTCCCTTGGATTTGAACTAACTTTTCAGTCATTTTTACCCAGATAACTCGAACCCCGATAACTCGAACCCCGATAACTCGAAAACCCCGCTAACTCAAACAGATTTTCGCTTCCCTTGACCAAAATTTACCCCGATAACTCGAGTTTCTGGTTCTTATAACTCGACAGGAAGGCCAATTGAGATATCCCATAAGCTTTTCTTATTGTGATCAAACTCTAACACTAGAACAAAGACTGGAGTAATTTGATTTTAATTAGTCAAACGAACAGATCACGTAATTGACAGTTACATGTGATCATAAGAGTCATACCGGATGCGGTGTATTTGCTGTCACAAAACTTGAAAGAAACAGTGCTACAGTGTACAGTGCATTAAAAAAGTATCCATTAAAATGTCTGTAAAAAAACATTAGGCATTTAAGCTGGAGAGTTCTTCAGATGCTGAACAGTACAATTGCATAATGCTCACTTCTCAAGGTGTTCCAACTCCTTCTTCAAAATGTTGACAAATTTCTCTTGACCAGAGATTCTCAGCTTACATGGGACTTGCATCCCCTCTCCATCTCCAAAGTTAACAGCTTTGTTGGCTTTTATGATCACACTAAAGGAACTATGCTGGTCTGCTTCAAGAAAATAGAAGATTGTTTTAGCAAAGTGTCCAAGTTTTCCTCTCTTCAAATGGCCCACCACTTCACCATCTTTTAGGCAAACAGCGCGTATTTATCTACAGCATTGTTTGGTTCTGGTATTGCTTGCAGAACTTCTCCCTGGCATGGTTTCCACTCATCTAAACAAGCGTGATATCCCTTCACATGCGAATCAATTTCAAATGAACTGCTTTGCTGCATGATGTTCGGCTGATGTTCGGCTGATATTTGGCTGTGTATAATGTGGTGCACCAATAATAAAATGTGCCTGGGGACCCTTTAATCATTTCCCTTCAGAGTTCGAGTTAGCTGGGTTCTACTGTATATGTTTTTTTAATTGAGGCAGTTTCTTTTCATAAGGAATCATCGTATTCTGTATGTCACGTTATTGTACAAAGAATGCTTCAGAACATTATATGACCTTTTTTTTTCTAAATTGTAGCTTTGTTTCGTTTTGATTGTGTGATTATAAAATATCCTTTTCTGGCTAGCTGCACAAAGAGTTATTTCAGTTTAGTTTCCTTTATGTCATTGAAGTATATTAGGCCCTTTTTCACGCGAACATTTTTTAGTTTTAAGGAGTTGTCCCCGGAGCAAAAAGGAGTTTTGTAGGTGTCTTTCAGAGTTTTTTTTTAACAACATTGGTCAGGAGTTTTCTCATCCCCAGAGCCAAGATCAGATGTAAGTCACGATTGTTAGTTGTGTTTTCTGTCGTCAGATTTGTAGCTTAGCTCGTTTCCTTAGCTTAGACAGATGCATTCCCTTTTAGTTTTCACCACCAGTGTTGTAACAGGTCGGCTAGCCTGATTACGTGATTCAGTCGAATAAAAGTGTGTAAGGGTCTGCTGTCCATCCCGTACTTCACTGTGGTTGACCTGGCGGACCCAATTACGCTGCACCCTGTGTCTGCTGTGCTGGGCACGCAACACTGCATAAGCTGACCTTCTTATTCAGATCTTGGGAGTTTTTAATTTTTTTTTTTTTTTATCTATTTTAATTGTTAATTTATCTGCAATTTGTATATTAAGATCTATATAATTAAAGTTGATTAAAGTAAAGTAAAAATATTTGAGGCTTTTTAACTCTCAAGCTCTTGTCTTTTATGGTAAGTAATACATGGTCATATCATACAGAGACCATGAAATTGAATTCTGCAAAATTGATGCAACCTTGTATTAGGCCAGCATTCTAAAGAAAAAATAATTAATTAAATCTATTCATATTATTTTCAAGGAAAAAATGCAGCATGTTGTGTAATAGTATGTATCTGTAGCTCTTATTATAAAAAATTAATGAATTTTAAACTGTTTTCTTCCATGAAAGCAGTTTCAGATCTTCAATGCTCATCAGCACTTACACCTTCCAGAGGTTGTAAAAGACCTTGGCCCCTTGTGGTCAAACTCATGCTTTCCATTTGAGGACTACAGTGGGGATTCAAGAGAGTAATCAGATTATTATTATCATGGTCAACAAAGATCAGATGATGCTGAAATGTTTACATGTCCTGAAAATATGTAAAACTGTCAAAACGATATTTTGATGACATAAATTTCTTGCTTTTCACATAGCTATTGATACATTGCTCAAGTGATGTTTGATACAATTTTGCAATGTTTCAGATTGTCAAAGCAGTATCAATAATCCAGAAGTTGCCTGAGATAGCCAGATCTACAACCCCAAGCATTTTATGAACAACTTACTAATACGCGCTACAATGCATGGTAATGACATTTGGTTAGTCATTGCTGTTTTATGTGTGTAGCAAATCTCTTTACTTTACACATTTGTTCTTACCGTAGTTGTCCAATTTATCTGTTAGAAATGAGTTCACAGATCTGCTTTTTAGTGCTTGCTCAGATTATGTTAGGATAAGAGAACACACTGCATTACTCAGCGATGTTCCTGATCCCCGTGGTCTTACATAATAGAGCGTTGTAGGTCATTTGAACGCAGAGATTGCAATGCCTGTTTTAGTATTTGAAGAGAAAACATTTGTTGGTCCGAAGGAAGAGGAAGAGAGACTTTTTACAACTCTAAGAACTTTTGATTCTCTCTATAACACTTGCCAGAATCATGTTACTTCGAATGGCCAAATTCTTTTATTTTCTTCTTTCCTTCTCGTTTAACCATCTTAAACAATGCATTATTGAAGTACAGAGGGCAATTGGAAGATTAAGACAAAACAATATGCATAACTGGCATCCCGAAGAAGGAACCCTCTCAGAGAAGGAGCTTTCTCAAGCGGAGAATACAATTTAGAGGTCAATTCAATATTACCACTTCAAACAAGAGATCAAGATCCTTAGTATGCTTGAAGGTAATGACAGCCAATTCCAAGATTGCCGAAGTGCACGGAAAAGAAACAGCATTGTCATACTCAACTGCAACCTTCACAAGCTGGACTCATTCATTGATAAAGAAGGCCTCCTTAGAGTTGGTGGCTGACTCAAGAGTGTAACGTCCTCCTATGCAATCAAGCACCCCTTCATTTTACCCAAAGGGGGCCACATGACTGTTCTCCTTATACACCAGTTCCATCATGAGAAGCAGCATCATCAAGGTTATGGCATGACGCACAATGCTATCTGCCAAGCAGGATACTACATTATCAATGGTCATTCTGCAGTTTCTCACTTCATCACCAAGTGCATAATGTGCCGTTGATTATGTGGTGTCACACCAGCTCCTCCATTCACCTACACTGGAATAGATGTATTTGGTCCATTCTACATCAAAGGACTAAAAGAGATGAAATGATGGGGCCAAATATTTACCTGCCTTTCTTCACGTGCGATACACTTGGAAACTTTGAACTCCATGGCAACAGACTAGTTCCTGAATGCACTCAGACAATTTACCAGCCGTAGAGGAAAGTCTGTGAGCTTAGGTCCAGTCAAGGAACTAACTTTGTTGGTGCAAATAATGAACTCTCCGCTGCACTAAAAGAACTGGACACTGCACCCCTAAAGGAATTCTTGTCTTCCCAAGACTGCGACTGGATTGACTTCAATCTTAACATGCCTCAAGCCTCACGTATGAGAGGTATTTGGGAACATCAAATATGCACTACACACTCAGTCCTACCATCCCTGCTACTAGAACATGGTAGGCAGCTTGACAATGAAGCGCTACAAACGCTCATGACTGAAGCTGAATGTATTGCCAACTCCTGTCCCCTAACAATAGAGAACCTGACAGATCGCTTAGCATCAAAACCGCTGACCCCAAACCACCTGCTAATACTTAAGACCCAAGTTGTGTTGCCTTTGCCTGGCAAATTTGATTCACTGGACCAGTATTCTTGCAAAAGGTGGCAAAGAGTCTAGTACCTTGTGAACCAGCTCTGGCT